CCACCCAGGCGCCCCAACTGTTCATCTTAACAAAGTTCCTCACAGCTAGTCCCCTCCCCCTAGTAACCCAGGACCATTCGCCGCATTCAGCTATCCTGACACTACCTTCCATCTGGAGTGGCTCCCCAGCATTGCTTTCACGACACTGACCCTGGTTGTTACGCCAGAATGTCGCCCGTCCTTTGTAGTCTTTCAGACACTCCCCTCATGATTAAATCCAGGCTGTATCCCCTTGAGGAGTGTATGGTGCATCCTCCTAAAGACACATGATACTCCCTGGCCCCTTACTGGCGATATTTTGATCACTGGCTAGGTACTGTGTTTCCTCTTGTAACTAGCAAGCAACATGAAAGTGATACTTTGAAATTGTGTTACTATTCCCATCTTTCTCAAACTTCCTCCCTTAGATTTAACATCCACTGATAAGACTGTCTGAATTAACTTCTGTGATGGTTGTTAACTGGTCCTTTTCTAGCTTCAAAGTTCATTTTATTTTTTACATGTTTGTTTATTTTTGAGAGAAAGAGTGCGAGTGGGGGAGGGGTAGAGAGAGAGAGAGAAACAGAGGATCTGAAGTGGGCTCTGTGCTGACAGCAGCGAGCGGGACGCGGGGCCCAAACTCACAAACCTGAGATCATGCCCTGAGATGAAGTCGGACACTCAGCCAACTGAGCCACCCAGGCGCACCCAAATTCCTCCCATGTCACTTAATCGACATTCTCCTGGAAACAGTAGTTTCCTCCTATTTATTATTAGTATGGACTCATATATTCTTACTTTAATAGGCTATATTCCATCACTGTTCTTATTTATTTCGGTGCTAAAAACTCAGACTTGGCCAGAGTCTCTGTCACTTTTTACCCTATCCCTTTCCATCCATTTCCCCCACCTGGTTTATCCTTCCATGGTTTCCTCTGCAAAAATAAGCAGATACATGATTTTCAATTATCTTTTTTCTGCCACAGAAAGTAGCATATGCTGCATTTTGCGCTTTTTCACTGAACACCTTCCTGGACACACTGCATCAGTGCATGGGTCTCATGGGTATCTTCCTTCCTCTTCCGTACAGCTGCCTACTATCCCATCGCGTGTACACATGCAGAATGGATTCAACCAGTCTCAGTCTGGAAGGTGGGTTTTTCCCAGTACTTTGCTATTACAATGTTACATCATGTAACTTTGTGTGTAGGCATTTTTGTACCTATTTTCATACTTAGGTAAATTCCTGCAAGGACCCTTGGTACAGGTCTAATTGCACACATACTTTGTTAAATACTGCCAAACACTTGGTCTCCCCACCAGCATAGGAGTTCTCTCTCCCACATCTTTGCTAACAGCATATCGAATTAGGAAAATTTTGCTACTCTGGGAGCACCTGGCTGTCTCTGTCGGTTAAGCACCCGATTCTTGGTTTCCGTTCAGGTCATGTTCTCACAGTTTGGGAGTTCGAGCCCTGCATCAGGCTCTGCGCTGATAGCTGAGAGCCTGGAGACTGTCGGATTCTGTGTCTCCTTCTCTCT